CTCTCCCCCCCCCCAGCACCGGCCTGCTGGAGGTCGCCTGAAGGCCGCGCCCGCGGCGCCCGCTGCTGTGACCGCAGGACGTGCGCCGCCGGTGACACGGCCTCGCGTCTGTCGCCGGCTCGGACCGTCACCGGGCCGCCGTCTGTTGACGTCTGCGGCGGTCGTCCGGTGTCCGCCGCCACTCTGGCTGCTGAGCTCAGCGGCAGAGCGGCCGTCGGCGCCGCTGACGCCGTCGGCTCGCGTTTCAGCGGCGCAGCAGCGCACACGCGGCCGCCGCCGCGCCGTGGACACAGCGGGAGAGGCCGGCCCGGCCGCTCGGTTGCAGGTCGGCACGGTATGAGGCTCGGCCGCATGTCGGCACGGTATGAGGCTCGGCCGCAGGTCGGCACGGTATGAGTCTCGATCGCAGGACGGCAAGGTATGAGGCTCGGCCGCATGTCGGCACGGTATGAGTCTCGGTCGCAGGACGGCACGGTGTGAGGCCCGGCCGCATGTCGGCGCGGTATGAGGCTCGGCCGCAGGATGGCACGGTATGAGGCTCGGCCGCAGGATGGCACGGTATAAGGCTCGGTCGCAGAACGGCACGGTATGAGTCTCGATCGCAGGACGGCACGGTATAAGGCTCGGTCGCAGAACGGCACGGTATGAGTCTCGATCGCAGGACGGCCACGGTATGAGGCTCGGCGGCCGCAGGATGGCACGGTATGAGGCTCGGCCGCAGGGACGGCACGGTATGAGTCTCGATCGCAGGACGGCACAGTATGAGGCTCGGCCGCAGGTCGGCACGGTATGATCTGATCGCAGGACGGCACGTATGAGGCTCGACCGCAGGTCGGTTGCGGTATCAGCTCTGCGCAGCGGCATTTAGCTGGGGGAACTGAAGGAGGTGGACGGCCACCTGGGGTGGTGGAAACCGAGCAGTGGCGCCAGCTGCCACCCTCATCATCTCCGGGAAACTCACGTGCATCTGCAAAGCGGCCTGTGAGGAGGAAACGGAGGAAAACGACCAAAATCCTCGATGTGCCCTCACTCTCTTTTTCAGGAGATCCGCCGTTATTGGGGTGTACCTGAGCTGACAGTGGTGCAGGGGTGAGGACAAACTCCGGGGTGGCTGGAGGGATATGGGGCTCAGTTACCGTGAGTACGAGGAAGTGTTGTCGCTGCCAGCTCAGCGACCGGGGTGATGTCACGGGGCGACACACGTCTAGGTGGCATTCTTGCTGGGCCCACAGCCTTACATAACACACATGATCGCGGTGGTTAACCGTGGCAAGCAAGCGTGCCTTTTCAACTCGTCAGACGAGCACGGACGCCAACTGTAGTATTCTGAGCTACAAAGCTCTGTCAATGGGTTCAGCATTATAGCCTACCGACAGTTGATTTAGAGCGTAGTGCATGAGCTACAGTTGCTTAAGATTAAGTTGACTACAAACGGCATGCCGTGCTCCACGACTGTGCTAAACGCTCTCTGATTGAAACATCTCACGCAAGTGCAGGTATGCTTAACACTATCGTGTCATATTAAGACATTACATGAATGCTTACAGACAAAAGCACCCCAGGATCTCCTAAAATTGTCATGCAACAATCCTGACATTCCGCCGGTCGGCGCGGCGACGGCCGTCTCCCGCGGCGTCATAACAGCCGCCGCGTGTATGAGCGCCGTCCTCGCCTCGTTTGCTGAGGCGCTCGCCTCATTAGCGCGTGTTTACCGCCGACCCCGTCAGCCGCCGGCGCTGATTCACCTCATCAAGACCCCAGCAGTTTTAAAAACACTCCCGCCGTCCGGAAGCAGAGCCAGACGGCGGTGGCTCGTGCCATTGCCCCCCCCCCCCCCGCCGTCGCAGCCCGACAACCGTCGGCGGGGGCGGGTCGCCGTCTCCGTCTCGCCGAGACATTCCTGGGCGGCGCGCAGACGCGGCAAACGCGATGCGCCATGTCGCGTCCGACCGCGGCCGCGTGACGTCGCGTGACGGGGCGTGACCGAGCGCGGAGGCGTCGCGGCTGTTCTGAGGGCGGCGTTTCCCGTGCGGTGCGCCAGCCTCCCACGGCCGGCGCCAGCGAGAGCTTGCGGTGGCTGACGTAGCCATGGCAACCACCTGCCCGTCACCGGTTTGGCGCGTGCCAGTGACGTCACGGTCTGGTGGCGGCCGGGGGACGGGGGCGGGGGGGGGGGACGGCTGGATAGAGGTCAAACGCGGCTGGCGCGGGGAGAAGGAAGTGGCGCCGCGCACCTGGTGTGCGGCAGGTGAGCGCTCACTTACGCCGCTGGTGCGCCCGCCGCGGCTTTGTCGACGCACGGCCGGACGTAAACACTGGATAACCCATTGTTTCCGAGGGGCCGTTCAACCCAGCCATTTCAAAAATAGCAGTCTGATAAGCGAAGATCACCGAAGCCTGTCGGCCACCCCGGTTGACTTCACATGGAGCGGAAACACATGCGCTTTAGATATCAGTAATCGTCACGGGTAATCGCCTCATTAATAACGTCGGTTTCCAAACCCGATTTCATCATCCGACATAGTTCGTCTCATTAGTTCAATTCACTGCGATTGGATAGGGGATTTTTTCTCAAACATTTGCGTACGTAGGTTTAAAATATATTTGTCCTGAAAGTTGGCACTAATCGGTCCCCAATAATCTTGGTCCCCAGTCATCGCTGCATTTTATCTTTGTCTCTGTCATTAAATCGAGTCTCTGTCATCACTTTGCCATTACTATGCGTCTCCGTCATGAAACCATTAATTCAACTGAGACACCAGCACTGTTTGCTAACCTGCGAACGTTTCAGCCACACTGCCGAGTGTCCTAAAGCGGCAACCGCATCAACCTCAGATAAATGAGCGTTCATATGACAGAATCGTGTGTGGTCTTCTGGCCTTGGACGTCTTTTTGCCCGCGGGCGGGCATGACCGGTCGAGTTTGCCTCCCTTGTGCACGGACTGATATCCGGCACCCACTCCGTCAGGGGTGCTGCCTACCGAACGGCGACTTTGTCACGTGCCCGGACCAAACAATGAGTCTGCGGCCAGTTTTTGCTGGTGTCCGGGCGAGGGGTAGCAGGGTGGGACGAGGAGGGCTGGAACTAGTGGCCTCCATCAGGCTGTGTGTGGCCTCTCGGTTTTCCTCGCTTCAATTTTAGCTCTAGGGGCCAATTCAGATGGTCTCCTTTTCTCGACCTCCAAGAACAACTCCCAGCCACTTTCCTTCGGACCTAACGCAAACGTGCAGTCTCAGCTCCAGCGTTCAGCTCCAATTTCAACTAAAAGGACTGGCCGCAACTTCATGGTTCAGTTCGCGCTCCAAGTCTTTTGTCCAGCTTCAACATGGGAACTGCGAACCTAGCGATCAGCTACCATCCCAGTCCAGCTCCAGCTCCAGCGCCTGGCTTCGGCCGGGCCGCGGACACGGCGGTCAGCTCCTATTCCAATCTGGCCCCAACCCCAGCTCCATTTCCAGCTCCAGCTCCAGCGCCAGCTCCAGTATAGTTCCAGCTCCAGCTCCAGCGCCAGGCTTCGGCCGTACCCCACACCCAGCGATCAGCTCCCATTCCAGCTCCAGCTCCAGCTCCAGCTCCAGCACCTGGCTTCGGCCGCACGGCCGTCAGACCTGACATCTCTGAAACGCCGCGAAGTGGACAGCGTGATGTCAGACGCACCTGCAGCCGAGCCGGCCCAATTACAGGCGGCCGGCTGGTGTCCGACCCCGTCACCTGCGCGGGCAGAGCTGCAGCAGCACCGGGCGGAGGCTCCCGCTCGAGCCTTCACTGACTCCTGCGCGGACTCGGCTCATGGACAGCTGACGCCGCCGAGCTAATGACGCGCCGCACGCGTCTCGGCCCGCCTTCTGACCGGCAGATGCGGCGTTTTTGCCGCCCGGCGCTGAACGGCTGTCCACGTGGAGGCTGTGCACACACGGCGGACCGTTTAGCCGCGGAAATTGTGGGCCGGAGGGAGTCCGAGTTTTCTATTTACCCTGTCTGCTGGCTCATGTTACCCAGCGATTAGAGGGTGCGCGTCAGAAGGGTTTCCGTGGGGCAAACGGGCCGTGAAATGGGGTAAGTCATGTGAGGCGCGAGGGGTTTCACCGATGTTACGCAGCCCACTAACTGAAATTGGCGGAATTAAGGGAAGGGAGCGCATGGCAGGAGGACCGGGCGGCGACGACCGGCGCGACCTGGCGCAGACGTGTGTCTAGACCCCAGGGGTAAATTCTAGGATTGGTCCTTTGAGACCTGAATCACACACTGTCCAGATCCAGGATCCACTTTGGGTTCTTTGGACAGTATGCTGGAATCCAGGATCTTTTTCTAATTTCTGCCAAATTATTCCGCCAAATGATTATTCTAAATGCTGCCACGTCATCCGTTAATTGCAGAGTCGTCTGTCGGTATTTGGTGGCGCGGTTACCGCGGCTCCTCAGGATGGTAATCTACATGCAAGCTTAATTTAACATGCCATTCTCAACCGCAAACTGTCAAACTTGGATTACTCATCTGTCCATTAGATGAGTTCATTAGATGGCATATTAGATGAGCGCATCCTAATAAACCAACTGAAAATTCCAACCATGGTGTTTCTGCTCGCTTGCCAGATGCGTTTGTGGTTGCATGTGTCCTTGAATTATTGTGATGACTGTTCGGGTGCTCTCAGAGGCAAAGTTTCGGAAAATGCCTCAAAATGCGCCAGAAACGGTCTAATCGATCACTGATCTTTTCTGTAATTCTGTTGAAGGATCCTTTGAGATCCAAAACATTTTCCCAATTTTGTGGAATGTTTCTTTGGAACCTTAATCTATTTGCGATCAAGGCACATGCCCAACTTAGTGTAGGCGATGCTGTAAGTTGCGAGCGCGAATGCCTTGCGCTATGGGAAGTATGAAAGTACCCACCTTCAGATACAGCTATGTTATGAAAAGTTCACGCTTCCACACGCAGATACTTAATCCGGTGTTTCATTGATACATGACACTCCATTTATGGCTAACGTCAGGTTACAGGACAAAAATCAGGGAAATACCTATTTTTCAATATGCCGATCTACTCGGCTCACGCTAGTTCCAGACTCAGAACCGCTATGACGATGCCAGACCCAAGCCAGACAGCCCCTGGTCCCCACCATGGGATCCGGTCTATCCGACGCCGCCGCCGCCGCGCGCTGGTTCGGTCACTCAGCACAGACGCGCCGCCGCCTCCGATGGGTGGGGCGCAGTGGCTGGGTGTCGGTTGCCGCGTGTTTCACGTCAACAGTCGGTTTGTTTCGGTCGCGGGTGGGCCGGTCGATGTCGGCGCTGTACTCGGTGTCAGCGACCTCTGCACTGCCGTGCATCCAAGGCCAGTGTTTGACCGGAGCGGGGCGGGGCGCGCGCGCTTCCCACACATTTCAATGTCGGCTCGCTCATTAGGTGCCTGTCCGACGGCCGGCACCTCGAAATAGTCGCTGTTTACAAACGTCACGAGGACCGCCTCCCATTGTACACCGGACACGCGTCCGTGGCGCGATGACGTCAGCCCACGCGGATGACGTCACCGTTCAGTCTTCGCGTGGCACTCAATGGCAGTGACGTGCGGCCGTCGGTCAGCCCTGGGCGAGGCGCGTCACAGACGGCCAGGCCCCACACACTGGAGAGGCTGCCGCCACCAGCGGGCCCCAATGGCAGCCGAGTCGGCTCCTTTCACCGCTGCTGGAGACAAGGGCAGTGCGGAGCGGGCGCCACGTGGGTGACCACACTCAGCCCGTTCACAGGGCGCGCTGGTGAGGCGTGGAGTATGCTCCTGCCCCTCCGCCTGCTGTCCTGACAATGGGACGAGGGCGGACCTGCGACAGACAGATAGATTCAGACGGCCTATGTCGGCTATTGGAGTGATGGTTCACATGAGACTGCGGGTGAAAACACGTGTCCATTAACGATAGGCGCGCCTGCGATATCGATCTTTCGGATTTGTCGTCCGCCTGGACAGAAGGCCAACCTTAAGGCTGACATGTATTTTCGAAAAGCACCGACTCGGATTCGATCCCATTCATTGGTCTTTGGTGTGACACTTTATTTTAATGTTCTGATCGATCCGTAAAATTCATTGTCATAAGGTTCAGTGAGTGAAATGTGATCACATTGCAATTACGACAAAATTCGTGCATTTATATAATTATTGTTCTTCCCAAGCAGTCCTAACATTTTCTTAATGTATGGGGAACATATTACACAATATCTGTTATTGATAATAACTTGCTGGCGTTACAGCAGTAAATGTGGTCACATAACATTTCTTGCTATAACTTATTTAGTTCCCTAGAACCCTGAATATGTGCGCACGATTTCTCTAGCAAAAAATTAAAATCTATCATTCAATATCCATTTGTGAACACGACTAACGCCCATAACACATTAAACATAAGCATGAAAGATGAAGCACATCAATTGTAAATAAGAACGAATACTACTGTGTTAGCGGTTTTCTGACTGTCATACCTCTTATAGGTCACTTTTATCTCATTCCATCGAATTTATACACTGCCTGCTACTGTCTACAAAGTTCCGCTGCGTCAATAAAAACACGTGCCTTCCGATGCGTCTACCTTAAGTGACAATGCAGTGCATGTAGTGCACTCATATTCAGAGCAGGCTTGCACTTTTTCACTGCGTTGAGATGACAGGAGACTATCAGCAAAAAGCTCCGATTTGTTTGCTTTCCATTAGACGAAGATTCCAGCACTATCTGCGACGCGTAACTGGTTGTCACTTTCTAACGGTTCACCCAGGCTGTTTTGCTTACGGGTTGCTTTCGCTGCGCTGAAGCCGAGCCCCCGATGTTCGCCGCAGTGACGCCTTTTGCGCGGGCTTTGTCTGTCCGACAAGTGTCAGAATGACGTCCTTGACAGGAACATGACTCCCCAAACATTGCCGATAAAAATCACAGCTGTGACATAAGTCACCACTCACACGACAGGGCGCCGATCGATTGACCTTTCTTGACAACTGTCGCCTTTGACTCCGCAATCGCGCGGCGGTGGATTGTTCTCCGGTTATCGCCTCTGCGTCTCGGAAGAAGCTCTCCCGTTTCCCAGACATCGCACCGGCTGGTCCGATCCTCCCGTTTACCTGCCACATCAGCCGGACTCCGTCTTGACTCCCATTAGCAGCACGTGCCCCCTCCCCCACCCGGCGAGCAAACACCGCACCACCGCGGCGGCAACTAGAGCGGAAACGCGCAATCACCGTCTGATAGCGACCGCTAAAACAAACGGCGCCGGTGATCTGAGTAAAAGCAAAGTGGCGCGATAGCCGCGGGTCGCGTCGGTGTCACGGCCCAGCGGGCCCAGTTTCTCGCCGCGCCGCCGCCGCTGTCCGCCGACCGGTCCCGCTACCGGTCCCGGTCTCGGTGTCCCGTGCTCCGGCGCCGTGTCCCGGTGCCCGTGCGCGCTGGTCCCCGCTGTGCCCCGCCGGCGCCGGCCCATGCGCGCGCGGCGGGCGGCGGCGGCGCGCACGGCCGTGCTGCTGTGCGTGGTGTTCGCCGTGCTGCTAGCCGTGGTGGCCGTGGTGGCGGGGCATCTGTGCCGATGTCCGGCCGCCGCCACCGCCGCCTGCTCCGGCGAGGCCGAGCGCACCGAGGCAGCCTGCTGCCCGCCACACGACGGTACGCACCTGGCCACGCAGGCTCCTGAGACGGCGCCAAAACAACGGCTGGAAAAGTCCGGGGTCATTAGCTGTCGAGGAAAAATCGTCTGGTTACATAAGTGAAAATTGGCTCTGGTGCTGTCACCCTCCACGCATCTTGTACAAAACTGCTGGTTTAACATGTTTGGCACAGGACAATACGTTTGTCAGCCACTGCTTTCCATACGGGTGGTTGTTATAACTGTTATGCATACTCAGTTACATTGTAAGATACCGCATGTGGTGTGGTTACACTAGAAGCAAGTTTGACTATGAAATTTACGGTTGCAGGGGCTTTTCAATATGGTTTAGATGCGATTATTTGGATATGGTGCGGGTGCATTTGACGACATGATCACCCATACCATTTATCGTTGGGCTCAGACCCGTCTGATCGCCATTTAAATGGTCGGACGGCCCGCAACGCCCATATCAGGAATTATGACACCGCCAAAGTGCCAGTTATTTGGAAGGACCGCCACTGATACCGCTTATATATTCGACCATTTCAAACACAGCTAAGCCGTAGATTTCCTCGCCGCAGCAATCTGGAGATAATATGCCGCTGTCCAAAGAGTGCCGTCCGTCTGGTGGCCCATCCTCCGATAGCTGCGACGTTCTCTGAGGTGTGCGCCCCGCCGACCCGTCTGTCGGGTCGCTGCGACGTACTGACAGAGTCGTCTCTCCGGTTGCAGTGGTGGGCGGCGGAGTCAGCCCAGAGACACGGATCCAGGTGGACCTGATCGACGGCCTGCAGCTCTTCAACACCACCTACCCCGGCGTGACCACCATCTCCGGCCTGCACAGCTTCACCCCGGCACTGAACCTGACCGGTGAGACGGGCGCCGCTGCGGGCGGAGGCGGCGGCGCTGGGGGCTGGCGGAGGCGGCGCTGGGGGCCGGCAGAGGCGCCGCTGGGGGCCGGCGGAGGCGGGCGCTGGAGGCCGGCAGAGGCGGGCGCTGCTGCGGGCGGGAGGCGGCGGCGCTGGGGGCCGGCGTAGGCGGCGCTGGGGGCCCGCAGAGGCGGCGCTGCGGGCCGGCGAAGGCGGGCGCTGCTGCGGGTGGAGGCGGGGCGCTGCTACGGGTGGAGGCGGGCGCTGCTACGGGTGGAGGCGGTGGCGCTGGGGTCGACGGAGGCGGCGCCGCTGGGGGCCGACGGAGACGGCGGCGCTGGGGGCCGACGGAGACGGCGGCGCTGGGGCCGGCGGAGGCGGCGCTGGGGCCGGCGGAGGCGGCGCTGGGGGCCGGCGGAGGCGGGCGCTACTGCGGGCGGAGGCGGGCGCTGCCACGGGTGGAAGTGGCCGCGCTGGGACCGGCGGAGGCGGCGACACTGGGGCCGTCAGAGGCGGCGGTGGCCGGCAGTGTGACGCGGCGTGGAGGAGCGGCAGCGACGGGGAGGGGCAATCGACGACATCGGGGGAGCTCTATCTGTGAATCATTCACATTGGGCGGCGACCACGCGCGGCGCAGGTGACCGGTGCGCCGTCACCGTCTATCAGCGCCAGCCCCGCTGCGATAGAGCGGGGCCAGCTCACAGTCTCACACCGGGGTCGGTGACGTCAGGCGGACCCGGGCGCGGAGCTCGATCTCACGGACGACGAACCCTGGCGGCTGCTGTCCTTGTCAGCTACAGATGCAGGGTGCTGGTCATGTCAGACCTACTTCAAGAGTTCAGTGGATAGTCCACGAGCGTTGCTTCGGCCTGCTTGCGAAGACGTGACCGTGTTTAAGTTCTAACACTTAAGTCCTTTCCTCGAGTCCGCGCGGTCAGACTCGTGAGCTACCTGGTCCTTATCGGCGACAGGCGCGTCATATCCGGTGACTGATGTGGACCATCAGAAACAAAGGACTCGCCATTTGCCGGGAAATCCGTCTGGTTAGCTGATAGCCAGGAATTTCACAAGCCGCTGAATGCAGCCCAATACCCCCGTAACACATGCCGATCGCGTGGTCCGCGGGGTGAAAGCATGACGTTTGCGTTAAAACTTCACGTCAGCGCTGAACGACTTCGGTACGCCCCCGATTAGCAAATTCAGAAGATAGATTGGCTTGCGTGCGGGGCTGCTTATGATCCATGATCTCCGTAAGGGGCCCCTTATTCATGCTGTCGAGGCAGCGAAATGTCCACCGCTTTGCCTCTTCCGTGTTGCGTTCGTTTTGCGTACGGAATATGGCACGCACAGCTTTACTTGGCACAGTACGCCACGCGATCAGTCACGTGTGAGGATCAGGCACTGAATGGGTTCAAGGCCCCTCACACGTCCTCAAATCTATTGAGATCATTCAGCAGGCGATCATGGTACACTAGCGGCCATTCATCCCCATGCACGCCCCCCCCCTCCCCCCTCCCCCTCCTAGCTCGACCCCGTCCCGCCGTGAGGAGCCGTATAGCACCTGCGACGGCTCTGTGGCGACACCAGCCTGCCGCCGCCGCCGCCGCCGCTGCTGTGTTTGTAGAATTACTATAACTACGGCCGGATTGATTAACCGGAGGAGACATCAATAAAACAGGGCGTACTGTACGCGTGCACGCGACGGAGCGGGTGGGGGGTGAGGGGAGGAAGAAGGGGACGGAGCTGGGGAGCTGAGCCTAGGGAGCCGCTCCAGGGGTGTGTGCTCATGGAACTGGAGAGCTGGGCCTGGGGAGTAGCTCCAGGGGTGTGTGCTCATGGAACTGGAGAGCTGGGCCTGGGGAGTAGCTCAAGGGGTGTGTGCTCATGGAGCTGGGGAGCTGAGCCTAGGGAGCCGCTCCAGGGGTGTGTGCTCATGGAGCTGGGGAGCTGGGCCTGGGGAGTAGCTCAAGGGGTGTGTGCTCATGGAACTGGGCAGCGGAGCCTGGAGAGCCGCTCCAGGGGTGTGTGCTCACGCAGCTGGGGAGCTGGGCCTGGGGAGCCGCTCCAGGAGTGCGCGCTCACGCAGCTGGGGATCTCCGGGCTGCACAGATACCCGTGTTTACTTCTTCACACCCGTCTCGATGCATGATGGTCTAATGGCGGAAACGGTGTTTGACGCCAGGAGAGAAGATATAGTTACCTGTGATTAGCCATAACTCAGGCAGGGGAATCCGAGTGAAATAAATTTGAAAATAAAAACACAAATGTGTAATCGAAAGCTTACCTGTCAATGTAGGGCAACAAAATCAGCTGACCGGAAGGAACAGGCACTTATAAATGCAAAACATGAGAAACTACTATGCGCAGCATACCACGGTTAACAATGCGAGCAGAGAGGCTATTTCCATTAGAATGATACGTTTCGGGACATGCTCTGCATTTCAGAGTATTTATGAGGCGTCAGGTGTCGGTGTCAGGGTCGCTCGTGTCCTGGCGCCACGCCACGTGGCGGGCGCACGTGCGAAAGGTGCCGGCACCGCCAAGGCATCCGGCCTGCAAGCGCTGAGCGTTTTATTAGCGGCCAATGCGCCATTGTCAAACTTTGTCATTCACCTCGGCAGTTACAGCCAGGAACTTTCCCCACCGTCAGCCATTTGCGGTGTGCCAGGATTGCAGCGGTTGGCCGGACAAGTGACCGGGCGTTGCACTGTCTACCTAGCGGCCGCATTTGCAACGGTTCTGGCCAGCTCGTTGTCTCGTTAGGGGCACGGCGCTGCGTTAGGAGCGTCTGCCTACCGGTAATGGGAGCTGGCTCAGCCCCGGGTGTGGTGTTCCGCGCCGCTGCAGCACCAGGAGTCAGCGGTCCGGCCAGAGCCGCGACCAGCGTCGCGCGGCGGCTGCTACGCCTTGCGAGGGCACTGTTTGCGACGCCATGCTGTCGAGCGCAGTCGTCGCCTCGGCCGGGAGCGCCGGGAGCGCCGGCGAACGGCCGGTGAGGCGGCAGCGCCCGGCGAGGACAATACAGCTCGGGCAGGCGGCGCTGTATTGTTTTGGGCGGTCGCCGCCTAAAGACTGGCCTTGGTATTGACCCGTCCCGCGAGCCGCTGGACGCGGTGCCGACGTTCAGCTGTGGAGGATACCGCCGCGCACGGGCACTGTTCCGACCACCGCGCTGTCCGCTGGCTTGGATTAGCTCGCCGTGCTACGACCGCGTGAATGTGTACGCCCCCGCTGCTTGGACGAAACGCTGACACCCCGCCCCCGCCGCCCCTGAGTGATCGACGAGCGCTGACGCTCGAATGCCTCTATCAAGGGAACGTTCAGACGTATACTGCTCTGCCCCAGCGAATGCATTTGAAATAAGCGGCTTGACGCTTGATTTATTGCATTAGTTAGCATAGTTCAATGCCTGCGCCTCTTTGACAGAGAGCAATGACACAACGCATGTCAGCTGTGGCGCACAGGCAGCTTGGTATTTATTGTGGTGGATTATAGTCCTACACACAATAGGGAACTGGATGACTTATTTCAAGATATATGTTTATGTACATATATATATATATATATATATATATATATATATATATATATGCATATCATCTGCACTCTTTCCAAACGTTATCGCATGGGTCTCAGCAAACGTGATTCCAATGAGGGCTCGCACCCGCAGCCTCGCGTCAACTGAGCTTAGTCGGGCCCTCAGCCGCACCCTTTTCCTGTCGTCCTGGCGACGGAGCACGTTTTTACCGCGCTAATTAATTAGTGGGCTGGCACGGCAGCATTGATCCCGTTGATGAAAGGCGGCAGCATCAATTAGCGGCCTGGCTGCCGTCGGGTGGCCGTCCTCTCGGCCACGATGACCTGAGGATCGGGCCAGCGGCGGCTGACCGGTGCCAGACTGGGTGCGGCTGACCCCGCCGTCGTCTGCCAACCGGAGGCAGCCGAGAAACAGGTCTCGAACGCTGGACTCGCTGTGGCGGGCCGGCAAGCCAGGGATTTGTTGTGGCGTGTGGGTAGTTCGCATTAGTGCTGCTGAAATCGCTGGTGGGAAACGTGTTTGGACCTTATCTCTTGGTCTCTCTCTCTCCCTCTCTCTCTCTCTCCTCCCTCTCTCTCTCCTCTCTCTCTCTCTCTCTCTCTCTCTCTCTCTCTCTCTCCTCTCTCTCTCTCTCCTCTCCCCTCCCCTTCCCTTCCCTTTCCTGGTCTGCCCTTTCCTCTCAACCCTCTCCTCTCTCCTTCCTCCTTCCCTCCCTCTCCTTCTCATCTCTCTCCCCCTCTCATGTTTTTTCTTTCTGTTTTGGTGTCTCTTTCTTCCTCTTCTCTAGCATGTTTCCATTGATTCCCCTGTATCCCTCCCGCAAACTCCTCGGCCTTAGTCTATAGTCATACCTCCATCTCTGCCTTTCCCATCTCACCTTCCCCTCCCCGTCTCCGTCCCTGTCCTCATCGGTGTCCAGGCACGCCGACTGTCGCCGGAGCGAGCACACTCGCTCCGTTGCGCCAGGGCTCAGCGCTCAGTGAATACGCGGCTGGCGGACCGCAGTGGCACTTGACCCCCCCCCCCCCACCCCCCCAACTGAAGTGACCCTGGCTGACCCAGACCAGAGCTCACTTCCATTCCACTTATGAGCGCAGCCTCAGGGACCGCTCCAGACGTCCTCTCACCCTCAGGGCGTTCCCCAGACGTCCTCTCAGGAGGACGATACAAAGAGCTATGCAATTCGACTCAGGCGGGTGCTTTTCGGCTTATGCACGCAATGTGAATGTAAATGTGAATGCTGTGCGATATAACGCAATGTGATGTGATGTGAATGAGCCTCGTAGCGAAAGTGAGTCTCTGGCGTACCCAAATATTTTTTAAGCGATGTCTGACGGACGCATGTGGCCCGCAGGTGACACGCGGCTGGTGCGCCTGCCGGACGCGGTGCTGGAGCGGTCGCTGGCGCTGCTGGCCACCTCTAGCGAGTTCACTGTGCTAGCCAACGTGCGCCAGCAGCCGCAGAACGCCGGCACTATCGTCGCCTTCTCCTTCGAGGCCAACAGGTGAGACTGTGCTCCGTGCGGACGGGCCGAGGCCGTGCTCGCGGCGGGTGGGGTGACGCCTGGCGATGGTGACGACGTCTACGCTGGGCCTGATGTGGCCAGGCGCTGATATGTGCCGAGTATGTTCCTGGTGGTGTTTTGGTCAATTAGGCTAACTGTAGAGGTTTACAACGAATTTCTAGGCAAGCTGTTTGTTCCACATGCCAAAGGTGGACTCCGATGTGTTACTTTGATGGCTGCATGCATTCTGAACGACAATAGCTTACAAATGTAAGTACCCTTCCTCCCTGACATGTGTATTTACAGCAGTAGCATACACGCGCCAGTATGCGCTCATTTTAGACGAACAAATCAGCATAAAATCTGTCTACTACGGTCACCTCTCGTATCTACGCACCACTCCGACTATCCGACCCCTTTTGCGAGGGCGGAAGGAGACAACAATCAGGGAAGTATTCGTTTCAAAGCAGAGCCCTCAGCCATAAAGGATTTTCATCGGATGACGCCGCCGGTACCTAATCCAGCCCCCGGGTGCGCCCGCACGCCACACTTGAGATCGCGTGTCCCTGACCGCCATTCTGACCGTTATTCCGGGGTGCACGGCACACTGGGTTAAGTTCCCCATCAGCGACAAATGCTCGCATGTACGCACATTCAGACGCATTCAAGGCCGGCCAAGCCTGCAGGCTGTACGCATGCTAACCATCGCAGACGCTTGATTTACGTGTCTTTCATGGTGCATTGCGAATGACAAATGAGTCTGTAGCATGTACTGGCTGAGCCGTGGGCGTGTGGCGCTGTCACGGGGCCTCTTGACTCAGAGCGTTTCCGACAAGCGGCGTTGGGGCGCCCATTATTGGATGGTATCACTGACGCGCAATTTTAGCGGGCCCCAGAGGGTCGCTCGTTTTGGTCAGGTCAAGATACGGTCCTATGCACGGGCAACCAGAGCTCACTGCCACCGATGCTGGACGGCGGCTCAGCCCACAGCACAGGTGGGGGCACCAGCCACCAAGCACCCCAGACAACATTCAGTAGCTGGCCCTTTCCATTTCGGAGCCCACGTGTATTTATTTCCACCACCGGTGCTACCAATGGACGAGGACCAGCATCTCTTATACAATTTTCATCATAGATGTTTCCTGAGCGAAAATAAAACGCCAGCGTGATGCATATTCACTGAGCCCGACCACCACCCTTCGTCGTAGGGATGTGTCCTCTGTTGACAACGGCGTCCACCGAGTTTATCATCGCCCATCGTAACAGCCTTCTCCGCCGGAGGGCATATGGAGCCCTGAAACGCCAGGCGATCAAGCCGACGTTAAAAAGCGATCGGCGGTAATTTATGGGCCGAACTGTCGTGTTTGTTGAGGGGTTCTCGCGGCGTGAAGGGGAGCCCACCCGGAATCGTGCCAACTGCATTTACAGCGCTCCACTGACTGGGGGCGGTTACGACCCGTTTTGTTTTGCTCGGGTTTTTGATGGGTGGGCTGAGCGGTTGAGTCATTTGACCACGACGCAGCAGTCTGTAAGCCTGTGCGGAAAGGAAACCTTTTTCTTCACTGGACAGGGGCGTGCAATATGCCTGCGCTGGGAAAAATGGTCACTCCATTAAAAATATTACTGCACAACAAAGTCGGTGTTCCTTCTCTCAATTTGGAGCGTTTGCTTTATGATCCAACGGAAGGGTCGGTCGCGTAATGTCCACTGCGCGATATAAGGCAGCCATCATGTACGTGGCTGTCCCCCAACTGCGTGTGTGCCTGACCTGAGCTGACCCGACCCGCGGCGTCAGCCTGCGCGGCGCGTTGGGCCGTCTGTGACCGGTGTGCTCCATCCTCGTGTGTGCTTGACCTGAGCTGACGCGACCCGTGACGTCAGCCTGGGCGGCGCCTTGGGCCGTCCGTGACCGGCGGCCAGGTGTGCTCCGTCCTCGTGTGTTCCTAACCTGAGCTGACCCGACCCGCGGCGTCAGCCTGTGCGGCGCCTTAGGCCGTCCGTGACCGGCGGCCAGGTGTGCTCCGTCCTCGTGTGTTCCTAACCTGAGCTGACCCGACCCACGGCGTCAGCCTGTGCGGCGCCTTGGGCCGTCCGTGACCGGCGGCCAGGTGTGCTCCGTCCTCGTGTGTTCCTAACCTGAGCTGACCCGACCCGCGGCGTCAGCCTGTGCGGCGCCTTGGGCCGTCCGTAACCGGCGGCCGGGCGTGCTCCGTCCTGGTGTGCGCCTGACCTGAGCTGACCCGACTCTCGGCGTCAGCCTGCGCTCCGTCCTGCAGCGCTGAGTCAGTCAGCTGACGTGTTGCAGCCAGCGGTGCCATATGTTCGACCCGAGACAAATGCGCCACCACCTGTGCCGGGTGCGCGTGCGGACGTTTTTAGCTCCGGCCAGTAAAATGAACCGCAGCTGTTCCCTTCTTAAATCCTTCACGTTTCGGTTGGGTCACGCTGTCCGCGGTTTGTTCAGCCTGGCAAGTGCTGAGAAGACGGCACCACGTGACACGGCCGGCCTCTGCTGTCGTCGCGCGGCGTCTATCTGTGTACCTTTGCGGCCATCTCTTTTTGGATTAGCTGGCGGTGTTGTGGGCGGGTCGGACACTGCTTTTCACGCTCGGATGCTTTTGCCGCAAACCAAGTGAATAATGTAAACAGATGAAGGGCAGCGTACAATGACTGGGTCAGTGGTAAGCCGATCGGATTATTTGGGTGGCATGTAATCGCCCGAAATGGACAAAAGGGCTCGGTTATCCATCACCGTGTGCCAAAATAGGAACACCATGCCAGGCATTCGAGTGTCATCACAAATACTTTGCCTGGGTATTTCCAAATCGCTTCAAATCGCTTCAGTTCCGCCGTTTTGAAGAGCGAGTATCTCTGTCGAAATCTCGGACCGTTGTCCAGTCGAGCGGTGACGCGTCTAATCACAGCAGCAGCGCCCAGTCACACCCCTCCTCATTAGCCGACGGATCCAGCACTCGCTGCCACTTGCAGTGCCGGCAGACTCTGTGCGGAGGCGTTGCGTCTGACAAGGGCACCGGCCGGAGACAGAGCCCATCAGCTGATTGGCAGGGCACCAGGTGCGGGCCCGATCGCCTGACTCGACTCGCACCTAAACGAGCCGAAACACGCTCAACTCCGCCGGAGATTGGACCGCAGGGGATGGCGGGGAGGGAGGGGGCTGCGGGGAGAGGACTGGAGTGGCGACCAATTGGTGGTCTGGATATCCGCTGTCGAGTCAGACCCCGCTCTGTGTGGGTGTGCGCGGGGCGGGGTCGCGGTGGCGGTATGTTATCCCGTGTCTAACCCACGTCACCTCTCGTCCGTATCCGGCTGCCGGCGCGCACTAGCCCCCGGCCCCCGCGCCCCCAGCGGGCTGCGCCGCCGCCGCTGCCGCCCCTGCCGCTGACGCCAGCCCCTCTGTCGGACAGGTTCCTGGAGGTGCAGTCGTCGGGCCGCACCGATGAGATCCGGTTCCACTACACGCGCCGGCGCTCGGAGGGCGAGCCGGCCGGCCAGCCTGACGTCCACATGGAGTCGTTCAGCTACAGGCTGGCCGACGACCGCTGGCACAGGTGCGCCCCGCCCCGCCCCCCCCCCCCTCCGCAGTCAGCTGGCCCGTCAGCTGACGGCCGGGCCTCGGGGGCGCTGGTGGGCCCAGCCCGCTGTATAGCGTGTGTGTGTGTGTGTGTGTGTGTGTGTGTGTGTGTGTGTGTGTGTGTGTGTGTGTGTGTGTGTGTGTGTGTGTGTGTGTGTGTGTGTGTGTGTGTGTGTGTGTGTGTGTGTGTGTCCGTGTGCGTGTGTGATTCCGTCCCAGCTACGATATGTATCGAGTCTTCTTTCGGTTGGATGAAAATAATGTGCGACCAGGGTCCCACCACCAACTTAATGCAAATTTGATATGAGTTGGGCATTTCGCATAGCTTCATGGTTGGAAACACTCAAATTGGTCTCGTTTTATGCCAAATATATATATATATATATATATATATATATATATATATATATATATATATATAAACCTGCACTCTACTAAAGCGCACCACGGAAGTCATCCGGCCTTCTCCCCTCATTCTCGCTTCATACTGTTTCCATGCGTCACCCTGTTTATCTAGAGCAATCTACGTGCACCGGCCATGAATTGGCTTAAGTGTTGCCTCGTGGGGGCCTCATCCGAGCGCTGGGCACATACCCCATATAGGGATGTGTGTGAATATCTCGGCGGATGGGCCCCCAGGTGCATGTATTTTTGCCTCACCATTATTCACTCACCTCCATCTCATAGCCGTGAAATGGTCATTGCTAGCCAAAACGGTTTCGACAAAAACGGAACAAAACGAACGTGCCGAAAGACAAAAGTCACATAAGTGTAATTTTTGCTTTGCCTCTACTGCTAAGTTATTCCTGAACATACCGCCTAGATAAAGCGAAAAAGAAACATTGCATTAACATTCGTACCACAAACGGTGAGACCTTTTGTGGTGCGAATGCTCCTACAGTGATGATGATGATGCAGTAAGCAGCTTGGCAGCTCTGTTTTATGGATCTAAGCCCTGGTCTCGTGACCCATTTCATAAGTTGCTTTTGTTTCCTGAAGCTCTGCCATGTGTGTCGCATGCCCTTTCCTCCCGTTCGAGTGTTAGTCTCTACAGTCTTTTACGCTCCGTGTTGTTCGTACCAAAATCCCATGTCAACAAAAACGGTTCCAGCGGTAGCAACGCTGCCGCCGCAAGTCGACGGGTCTCCGGCGCTCGATTGCTCGCGCTCGTCTCCCTCGTGCGGCACGGATAGTCCGCGTCGCGCACATGTTGAGCCGCGCTCTGTGGCCGCACAGAGGCACAGGGCGGCGTCCATTGGCGCGTGGCTGACAATCTGGTGGCGTGTTCGTGTGGTTCTGTGGATTGGTCTCACGGGCCTCCCAGTCACCGGCGCCGCTGGCCAGACTCCGCCGGCCCTCTGACGTCACGGGTCGCACGGCCCGGCTGCTGGTGGTGACCGGCAACGCCTCTTGGGAAAGTCGTGCTGGCAAATGCTTCTTGTGGGGCCTGTAGCGATTAGATCAACGTCCAACCTGCGCTTTGTGGTTAAGCGTTATGTGGGAGCGCATCCAGGTATTGTCTGGAAGAGACCATGAAATTAACATTCCATCTGGCATCAAAATATTTTAGAGCAAACACAGGTGAATTTGAATGCAGCTTTCGGACCATAACTGGACACACACCTGAGAAGAACGCTGCGCCGCTTTTAAGCCACAATACGCAGCCCCACTGCCTAACAAACCTGCGGGATGACCGGGATATGATCGTTGGACACAAACGGACGCCCCGCCCTGCTGTGTGCTGCGATATGACCGGGATATGATCACTGGACACACACAGCCGCCCCGCCCTGTCGTGTGCTACTTTATTTAAAGCCAGTCCCATTGACCTGACTGCGAGTTTTGGCGACGAAAGGTGCAACATGAAGGGACAGTTCAGCCGAATCATCCAGTTTTGGCGCGACCCAACGTGTCATACCACCCTTTCAGTCGGGGAAGTCATGACAGTTTGTTTTGATGGGGTGGTGAGGAGTAACCACGACTGACAAACCCCTTCATAATGCGCTTGCCCTGGGCTATAATCGAAACCAACCGAGGTTTGGAAGCTGGCTGTCCCGATCGCTGCAGCCTGTCGTGTTTAGACTGAGCCTATGGGGGTCCTGTCGGGGTTTGTGCCCGGGGTACGGAGCTGAAGACCCGCGATCACCCGCGGATCTCAGACCGGTCTCGCGACGGAAGGGCACGCCGAGCGTGGCCGTGACCGCGTCCGTCGCCCGCGCCCGGCTGACCGCGCCCTGACCGCCACCGGCGCTCCTGCAGGCTGGCCGTCTCCGTGTCCGGCCAGCAGCTGGACGTGTTCGTCGACTGCCGGCACGTGCACTCGCGGGTCATCCACCTGGCGGAGCGCAACGCCAGCTGGGCCGGCGCGGCGCTGCCAGGCGACCAGCGCCTGCAGCTGTGGCTGGGCCAGCGCAACTCGCGACACTTCATGTTCCAGGTGGGTGCCGCCCATTGGCCGGCCAGACGGCGTCATATCGCGTGTGGGGCGGCGATTGGCTCGTGTCATTTCTCGCGGGATGCCCTCCGCGCGTGCAGACCGTCCGACAGCGTTCGTGATGGCTAGGGGGTCCTGCTGGCTCGGATGTCGTGCGATGTTATGTGACTGGAAATCGTTCTGCCGCGCTCAGCGCAGACTGGTGTCACCACGTGTTACCGCGCGCTCGGCACAGACAGCTGTCGCCGCGTTTTGCCGCGCGCTCGGTACAGACTGGTGTCGCCACGTTTTATCGCGCTCGACACAGACTGGTGTCGCCACTTTTTACCGCGCTCGACATAAGCTGGTGTCGCCACGTTTTACCGCGTTCTGGCATCGCCACGTTTTTGCCACGCTCGACATAGACTGGTGTCACCACGTTTAATCGCGTTCGGCGCAGACTGGTGTCGCCACGCTTCACGTCTGAGGTCACTGTCGAAGATCCCAATCAGACGGAGCGGTTGGGCAGGTAACATTTATTGACGCATGCATGACCGCCAGCCTGCGCTGCCGAACTCCCGCCGAGAACGTCTGGAGGGTCATTAACCGCCAGCCGTGCCGAGCGCGCTGCGTTGCCAGAGGCACGCCTCATTTACTCCCACTCTGAGTCAACCGAGTTATGAACGGGACTTATGAGCCGGACAATCCGCATCGATCTCCGGGAAGTCAGCTCGGTCAATGCGGAGGAGGCCCACCCTCTGGACCTGAGCGCCGGTCGTGCCCGACAGCACATCTGCCGGGACAGAGCACGTGCGCCCGTGGACGGCCCAAAACCGTGGACCGCTGCCGCTGCTTCCGCCCTGGTCCCCTGTCGGGTCTCATTCTCACCAACGGTCTCAGCAGGGTCTCGCTGGCCGGGCCTGAGAGCCAAACACCAGATGTGTAGCCCCATTGCCGATCCCGCACCCGGTCCTCCGCGTAGATTCTTCTGATAGGGCACGCAGGGAGCCGCTGCTGGGAGAGAGGGGAGGGGCGCCGGCTAATTATCGACTGGTGCCAGACAAAACAGCTCATTAGCGGTGCCCGGTGCCGCGCGGTCAGCCGCGCCACTCTCGTCGATGGCGCGCTGGTCTGGCCACGCGGCGAGAAGGGGGCAATTACCGTTCGTTAGCCGAACCTCGGCATCGCTCTCAGACGTCCATCTGATGGATGGCGGCGCAATGCCGAGCTCCCTTCCTCTTATGACGGATCGCCGTCGCCCTCTGGATGAGTGAAATCGCTCTTTGGACAAATTACTGCTGGTGAAATCGCTCTCTGAGTAGATGAGGACCCGCACAGAACATTAGCACACGCAACACGGGGGCGGCACTTCATCTGAAAGCCTTCGAATGTCCTGCACAAGCAGTTCGTCAAGTCCGATCGGATGTCTCAAGTTTGGACACAACTAATCCATCTCCCGGCTATTTCGACCCCCAGCTTGGGTGGTCCCAGCCTGAGGACGACAGGCCTAATCCGAGCTACCAGCTGCCCTGGCAGAAGCCCAGGCCTCTGCCAGGTCCGACCTGCCCAGTTTCTCGCCGCCCGTGTCCCTCCGAACACCGCTCATCTCCCCGGCTATCCATCATGTGTTGTTTCAATTCCGACATCCTGTCGACGAGCCAAGTTCCGCGTCGGCAGGCGGCGGGTGCGCCGTAATCGTCCCGAGAGCGCCGTCGCATTCGATTACGCCTTGCCGCTCCGCCAATCACGAGCCGAGGAGACGGCTGTGCCGGCGCATTTGCATACCGCCCCCGCCGGTCGTCGCTGCCCCTGCCGGCCGTCGTCGCCACCGCCGCTGGTGCTATCGCGGCGGCGCGCGCTGCCTTGTCGCGCGTAAACTTCCGCGAGGGAAAGCTTCCTGCTCCGCCCGCGTCAGCGCGATTTAGCTGTCGCCGTCTGCGTCCGTCTTTCTCAACTGACACCGTCCGCGTTCGTCCCTCGCGGCAGTCTGCACGTGTCTGCACCTGTCTGTCCGCCCCGGCCGGCGCTGCCGCCTGTGCCCGTCTCTGCTGTCTGCCCCGGAGCAGGGTAGCGAAAGCCGGTCCCCCGCGTGGCGTGCATGCTACATCCGCCCCATGCGCCCCACCATCCGACGTCGCTCGGGGACTCCGGACTTTAGGGACCCAACTGCTTCGCTCGGCGAGTGCCGGCCGCTCCGCCAGAGCTCGAGCCGCCGTGAGCGGGCTCCGCTGCTGCCCGGTCGAGCCGCTCCGCTGTTCTCGGGTCGGGCCGCTCCGCCAGAGCTCGAGCCGCCGTGAGCGGATTCCGCTGCAGCCGGGTCGGGCCGCTCCGCTGTTCTCGGGTCGGGCCGCGCCGCCAAAGCTCGAGCCGCCGTGACCGAGCTCCGCTGCTGTCGACAGCGGCTCCGCTGCCGCTGACCAGTGACGTCGCGACTCCGAGAGGAGGACTCCGCGACGACTCCGCGACTCCGCGAATGCACTAATGGAGCGTCCGATCGGTGGGGGGGGGGGGGGGTCGGGCAAACGTCGTGTCTCTCCCCATCGGTGTGTCACGATGGTGAACGCGAAAGGAGCGGGATGGGGGGGGGGGGGGTGGGGGAGGGAGGGGAGCAGAGGGCTTAATAGACCAAACATTCCTCCTACCAAACTACGACAATATTTTAAAGCTTTCCAGTAAAATTCATTGACGCGGTGACTGCGTTAATTGCATTGATGTCGCAATAATTACAATAAATGTATTGCAAGTTTTCCTCACCCGCATCACCTTTTGTCCTAATTCTCGGAAATAACGCGTAGCATTTCAAGATCTTACAAGTTCTGAACTCATTTTCATCCCTTTCGAGTGACGCAATACTCCGCCTTGCTCGACACGTCCGGATGAACGCCATTAATAATCGCTGATCGATATCTAATAAACAGGGCTCCCCATAATTCTCTGGCCGCAGAGTGACACCTCGCTATTTCCTCCTATCGCCGTGCTGACGAAGCGCTAAGCACAACATCGTTTTTCGTGTCGTTTTTTCCCCGTAGCAAATCGATTACGCCGTTTGGATGAGGGCTTTTCGCGCCGAGCCGACCGACAAAAACCAGCCACTCTTCGCCAAAGAAGCCCGCGGGTCTCTTTCCTCTCGCCAGGGAAAATACGACATCGGTCTTGCTCCCGGCTAGCCGGACGGCGGCGCGGCGCGGTGCGGCGTGGCGTGGCGTGGCGTGGCGCGGCGTGGCGTGGCGTAGCGTGGCGTGGCGTGGCGTGGCGCAGGCGAGGCGTGGCTTGGCGTGGCGTCGCGCGGCGCACGTACCGTGGCGCGGCAGCGGCGGCGGCGGCGGCGACATTAGTGCGGCTCGCAAAAGCCCGGACTGCGGGCGTAGCCGGCCATAAAGTCTCGACCAGACGCCGCGGCCGGCCCTTCGAGGCCTCCTGAGCGGTCATAACTCGCCGACAGGCCGCTCCCGTGGGCGGTGGCATTCGCGGCCGGCCGCCGCGGCATCGGAGGCCGACCAATCTGTCAGCCGCGGAACAATCAGCTCCGCGGTCAGGCGCAGGCCGGTGTCCAGCGGCGGCCGCCGAGCTGCCGACGCGGCGGGCGCGATCTGCGTCTGATGGAGCCCCCACACTGCAGCGGCCTGGCGGCGGCGGCCGGCCGAGCGCTCGGCTCCGCCAGCCGCCCGTGCAGACCTAGGCGCGCCGAGGCGACGCCGTCAGACGGCATGCCACACGCTAGAACGGGCTGCGCCGCCAACCCTGGCACGCCTGCGTGGCATTTCAGGAGCGCTTGCTGGGAGGCAAGCCCACCACACCGGCCTGTCTGCGCCGGCGCCAACGGCGCAGCTGGTGACTTCCGGCTGGGTCAATGCCACTCAAGGACGGGCACCGGCGCGGCTGTAAATCTGTTAGATCCATTTCCGGAGAGACAGTGCTCTCCCAACAGCCGGAGTCGGCCAGCAACAGAGGGGACCTGCCACACCGCTACCTCTGTGTCGCGGTCGAGACGAGACCGCCGTTTCTTTCACACCTTTCCTAAATATAGCCCCGATGGCGTCGCTATCTTCGTCCAACCATCATGTCATGTGGCTTTGGCAGCCGATACAGACATCATAAAAACAACGTCGGCGGCGGCGCCTGCACCCGCCACCGTAGGATGGTGTGTGCCAGAGGCTGGACGGCGCCCAGGTCGATTCAGCCGTCTGGCGGTGCCTCCGTCGCCGCCGTGGCGTCGCCGCCCGCTCGGCGGCGGCTCAGAGCGCGCCGGGGCGCGGGGGCTCGGCCGGCGCCGGCTCGCGCCGCGCCGCCGCGCCCGTGCCAACGCCGGTGGCGCGGCGCTACACGCGCTCGGCCGCCGGTCGGGCGCGCTGGCAGCGTCGGCGCCGACGGCACCGACGCGCCGGCCGGGCACGCTCACCCCCGCCGACGCCGGCTGTTGCCAGGCCGGGCCGGGCCGGGGCACCGCGCGGACGCCGGCGCCGCACCGGCCGGGGGCCGCTCCAGCGGCGGGCCGCGCGATGTGTGATCCGCGCTCTAGGCGGGGAGGATGACCGTGACCCGGAGAAGGATGACCGTGACCCGGAGACTTATGACCGGGACCGAGGGTGACCGTGACCCGGAGAAGGATGACCGTGGACCCGGAGACTTATGACCGTGACCCGGAGACTTATGACCGGGACCGGGAGGATGACCGTGACCGTGATGGCATGGCCTTGCGGGTTGTGTGCATGGCGAGGATACGCGAACCTCGGACCTGTCCGTGGTGACTGTACCGACTAACCAGAGAACGTTTCGAAGGGATTGGTCCACCTTTCCGAAAGCTTCCAAACATTGGACGGCATTGATTATTGACTGCAAAAGGCGGAATTACGGTGATTTTATTGAAAAGCAAAGCCGATTGCCAGAGACATTGGCAACTCCGTAAACACAAAACCAATTTTAGACGAGTATGATGTGATATTTGTGGCAGCAGATGGACGCTAGGCCTAAGTGCATACTTGGCACACACGCCACCAGTTGTACCACAACCTTAAACGACGACT